ATATTTTTAGTGGAGAATATCTAAATATATAATATTAAAAATATATATATATATATATATATATATATCGTATAATAATTTTCATTAAAAGATGAATTTAGTTCACATATTATAGACTTTTAAGAAACAAAATAGTCTTTATTTAATATTTTATTTTAATAACAACTTACTTTTAATTTAGTTGATTTTTTTAAATAATATATGATTTAATCTTCTATAAAAGGAAAATAATTAATCGAAAAATATATATTATTTTAATAAAAAGAAAAAGAAATGGATGATTATACAAATTAGATCTTAATTAATAATGAATTTACTAATTTATACATTAATAATTGCGATAAATATAAGATTAATTTAATAAATTAACAGCATTTAAAATTTATTTTAAAATATCATATTATCTCATAAGAAGCAAATTTTGATAATTATACACTGAAAAAAAATAATTTAAAATAATCCTTTTTTTAAAATGAATTTGATAAGTTTAAAATTGAACTAAAATCCAAAACTAAATTTTCACAAAACTTTTAAGATCATAATTGTCTTTAAATTTCTCATTTAAGTCAATATTTAAACCTATTATATGTAAAAATAATAAGAAATAACATTAAGAAGGTAAGGTGGAAGAAATTAAAGGAAATTTTTAAATTTTATAATCAAAAGAAGGTGAAAAAGATGAAAAAATATATAATAATAAGCAGTTTATTATAAAATTTAATATCAAAATTCCTAGATTATAATAGAAAATTAAAAAAATGATATTATTAAAGCAAAATAAGAAAATGTATTTTAACATTAATGATAAAAAAAATGGGGAAAAATAAATTAAATACTAATATATAAAAATAAATGTATTATTATAATTATAAATATATATAATATTATGTATTTTTAATATATAATATTTTTTATATATATTATTTATTTAAATAATTAATTTATCAGTCTATATTTATCGTTTTGATTATTTTTTCTTTTTAAGTTATTTCTTCGTTTATATTTATATTTATATAAAGGAAATTTTAGGTTGGAAAATCATTTTTTTTTGTCAGAAATTCCTTTATTTTTTGGAAGTTTTTTTCGAGTATTTTTTTGTTGATTTTTTCGTTATTTTAATGACATTTTTTTATGTTTTTGGCCACCTTTTTAAATTTTCGGAAGAATTTTTTAAGTCTAAAATGATTTATTTTTTAAGAGTTGATTTATTGGGTAGTTTATGTGCTTTTCTTGAATTTTAGAAAGGCTTTTTATATCAAAAAGTAAGAAAGTTGTCTTTAAATCTTAAGTTTTATTATACTTTTTTTCCAAAAATTAAAAATTTGGGAAAGCTTTAAAAGCTCGAAATTATTTTAAACTGCTTTTAACCATTTTTAATGTATTTTAGAAAGTTTTTTAATACCAAAAAATGCATTTTTTTTGAGAATTTAGTTTTTTTTTACTAAAAAATATATAAAATTGATTCATATTTTTATTTTTTTTAAAGCTTTTGTTAAATGTGTTCTTTTGTGGATTTTTTTCGATAATTTATTAAGCATTTTTGAAAAAAAAAACGAATTTTTTATGCTTTTTTGAGTTCATTTGTAAGTTTTTCTTAGATTTTTTTTTCAAGGTTTTTTTATTAGATTTGTTGAAGTTTTTCGTTTTCGAATCTTTGTTTTTGTTCTTGTATTTAGCTTTTTATAAGATCTTTTAGAAATTTTTCTTCTAGTTTTTTTTAATTTTAATTTTAAAATATTTCTTAGTGTACTTTTTTTATTTCTAAGAGTTCTTTTTGGAGGATTTTTTCGTTTTTTTTTTAAAGTTTCTCCTTTTCTTATTTAAGTTTTTCTTCTAGCTCTTTTTAATGATTTTCTTCGTGTTATTTATGTAAGTTTTCTTAATGGATTTTTAATTTTTAAGATTATTCTTCTTTTTCTTTTAGTTATTATTCAATTTTTTATATTAATAGTTTTTATTATTCATCTTTTTCTTGTAATTATTTTATTATTTCTAATTATAATTATAATTATTATTATTATTATAATTATAATTATTATTATTATTATTATTATTATTATTATTATTATTAAAAATATATATATATATAAAATATAAATTTAAAAAAATTCATTCAAAATGATTTAATTAATTATTTAAAATTCAAAATTTATTTTAATTTTATTCATTTTTTTGAAAATATGAAAAAATCCTGTTTAAAATATATAAAAATAAATCGAAAATATATTTTTAGATCGTTTATTAAAAAAATATCTATAATATAAGAAAATAAAAAAGACTTAAGGAAAAAAATATCTCATTAAAACTAGAGGCAATAGCACAATTCTTCAATAATTAATGTAAGCAGAACTATAACCTCTAGAACCATCCAAACTAGAATTAAAAGAGCTTTAAATTATCACTAAAAAATAACAGTTAAAGGAATTGATAGTGCTGTTGAACAAGTAGTATAATCAGTAGCAGAACTCTAATAAAAATTAGTCGTTATTTCCAAATTACTATTAGCCTATCAAATAAAATTCAATCAGATATTTACAATAATTATAATTATAATTATAATTATAATTATTATTATTATTATTATTATTATTATTATTATTATTATTATTATTATTATTATTATTATTATTATTATTATTAGTATTATTATTAGTTATTATTTATTATTATTATTATTATTATTCTTA